AGCAGGAGAGTTGGTGGAACTACCATTGCGCCTGAGGTCGTCGATCCAGGACAAGCTGTGGGTCACGCGTGGGGATCAATGGGTACCGACAATATCCAGTGGACCAGGGCGGACGAAATACATCTCGATCACCAACATCGGGGACGAGGTGTTGATCCTGCATCAAGACCAACGGATCGGGATCTGGCTGGCTGGGGATCATGTGCCGTGGAGACCGGGCTTTATCTCGATCGGCTCTCGTCGTTACATGGAGTGGCAGAATCTAGCGTTGGAAGCTACGACAGACACCCGATCCGAAGGAATGGGAGTCAAGATCCCGCTGGTGCCCGCGGTGGAGCGGCCCGAGTATGAAATTCCGCGCACAATACTCCAAAGACCGAAGGCAACGTTGATCCAGTGTCGGAAGGCCGAGGCGAGGCAGGATCAAGATATTCCTGACTGCCCACCCTTGGACGAGTCGCCGTCGGACAAGTCGCCGTCGGACAAATCGCCGGTGGAGATGCGACCGTTGGATCTAGCGTCTGTCGCGAGTGAGGAGTCGGATCTGTCGTCCATCGTAGACGAAGACTCTATATCGCATGCCGTGACGGTCAAGGAGGCGCTAGAAGATGTGGATCAAGTGACGCCGGACAAATGGGCGACTAATCCGCTGGTGGGGGAAACTACAGACATGGAAGGAATGCGAGAAGAAGATGACCGAGATGAAATTGAGGATGTCAGTCTGGATCAACTACGTTCGAGAGGCCAAGATCAAGGAACATCGCCGTCGAAAGGTGGCGGATCGGATCTGCCATCAATGATGAGTGTACAGCCTGGGACAGGACATATGCCCGGTGATCCGTTGAACGACAAGTGCGCCGCATCTATGCCGCAAAAAACGGACATGGATCCATCACCTATTGTTGAAGATCAACCAGGCACATCGGATCTAGATCTTACCTGGGACTCAGATCAAGATTATGATGAATGCGTGTATTACCATGAAGGAAGCGATCTATACGCCGAAGATGTAGATGGTCAGATGGTGGTGCTGCCAGAAGTACCTGTGACGATGGAAGATGTGAAGATCGAGGATATTCAACTATGCGGATCTGATAGTCAGACTCCAGAGGAAATCGAGCGACTTCGCCAAAAGATCTGGAAGTTCCGACATCTCTTGATCGGGAAAGGAAATGCCCTTCCGCCGGCAGCTAGAGGTGTGGTGTGCGATATCGATGTCAGGGGAGCGAGACCCATCACCCTTAAGTGCCGTAAGTTGCGGATCCAGTTCAGGGAGAAGCTAGCAGATCTGATCAAGGGTCTATTGTCCGCCAAGATGATCAACTATTCCAGATCACCATGGGCTTCCCCCATCGTGGTGATCATTAAGAA